CCCCCCCCCCCCCCCCTTGGAAACAACCCGAATGTCGTACATTATTTATTACACTAAACAAAGCGAAGACGTCATAAAAGACTAGCGAAAAGCGCGAATAGAATGGAAAAGAGAATAGACTAACGAATAGGAAAAATAATGGCGAAAGAAAAATGAAAAACAGTTTATTTTAAAAAAGAAAGTAGTTTGTGTATAACTGTCTGGCTTGATCATATCAACAGCGTAAAATTAACCAACAATTTTACTTTGACGTCAGAGTAATTCAATAAAAACGAACGAGATTATGTACCTCTTATGGAGAGAAAACTAATAATAATAAAAATCAGTGTAAAAATCGATCCCATGTATACAAACACGCGATTTTGTTTTTACTCAATGCATATAATTGTTAGTTAAAATAATTGCTTGATTGCTATTTTGTGGAATTCACATATATTTTCGAAGAAAATGGGGAGTGTCAGCTTAAAAGCGAGATTTTTTGCGGCTCTCTGCCCCTCCCCATTACAGACATTAACGAGTTTAAAATTGTGCTAATTAGACTGTTATTTCTTCCTTTTTCATTACAGACTACATGAAAAAAAACAATGCTTGCCCATTACAGACCATAGTAGCTAGTCTATGCCATTGCTAAATATACGAGCTAACAATTAATACTCAACTACAGGCATAAGTGCAAATAGGCAATGAGCTAATTATAGGTTTTGGAAATCAGGGTAGATTTTTCAGATGAATTATTTTAGTAAGTCGAAGGGATATATGTGAGTTCCACATTTTAGCCCTAAAGGGGCTGCGCCAACAAGCTTTTTCATAAAGATGTATCCTCACGAGCCTGTTATTAAATTTCGAAAAGATAAAAAAGCAGAGGACAAAATTTGTTCTAAATTATTATGACAGAAATCATCATATACATTTCAATGTTCAAAAAGGAACTTGTTTTTAATAGTGCACTTACGAATCCTATACAACTATATACAATACAGAATCGACTTTCCTCATCAAGTCCCGCATTGACTCTAGCATAATGTGCATTGGCTAATAAAAGTCGCCCAAAAGCATAAAAAATATTATCAGCTGCAGAACAATATCGCTAGATTCACTTAATCTACTTGCTATAAAATAAATATGCAGATAATAATAACACAATAAAGAAACAAACGGCTTAGTAAATAATATACATACAAATAACCGTTAAGCTGATATGTCATCTGCACAAGATCGAAAAAATACGAGAATACTACAGTGATACATAGGATTATTCTGCGTATTCAATACTTTATATATACGAGTATCATCGAAATCTCAACGCACTAATAGCAAGTTTATTTACTCTCACACGAAATAGTGAGTGATGTCATAATCCCGTTACACCGAGTAACGACTTTTTCTCCAGCTAAACTTACTTTATAAACACTCGGTGTATTACCTTTAGGGTATCCACTTTCATGTAACTATATGCTTTAAAGTTGAGGAATTTGAGTTGTTTTGGGGTATTACCCTAAAGCGTAACAACTTGGATATTCTCGAAGAAATACACAAAAACAACTGGGATTTGAATATAATTGATTCGTGTACTGCACAGTAGCACTTCGGAAAACCTTAAGGCACAGATATTGCTACAGGAAAATGCAAATAATATCATTTTATCTGAATTGTCTTTTAAATAATTTGAATTTAGACATGCATATTACTGAGGCTGAAATGTATGGCATAAATTATGATTCCTAGGAGCATTCCTTGGATTCCTGACAATACGCAACATTGGTAAATGGAAGGCTGTCGCTGCTGGAAGCAAGCCGGACGCTACTGCATGAATATCTTAGGCTTCTAAAAGAATGCGTGAAATTGCTGAAATCATGTATCAGGTTGCTAAGATTATTCCTCGACTTCCGACACCCTTGCCTCACGTTGCTGCCAGTACGAGTGGAGTCCTTCGTGACACACAACAGGTACCGGAACACATACCTGAGCTGCTAGATACTTCATACAGGTTGCTGCAACTGTGCCACATCTTGTTACAGGTATCCAAACCAACTTTCACACAAATTAACCTATACATTTCGGAGCACTTAATTTCTTACAGCAAACACAGGAATGCATCTAGTAACCTCAGGAATTCATTTAACAAACGCAGGTATTCTTGTAGCAGGCTCAAAGTCATCAATGGATTCTTCGAAAATCTCGTTCTTATTTTATGTGGAATTAGGCAGCTCCTCCGAATTCCTCAGCTTTAAAAAATATAGTTAAACGAAAGTGGATACCCTAGGGGTAATACCCCAAAAAGAATTTGATGGGTATTATGACTTGGAAATCGCGATACCCAGTGTAACGGTATTATGTCATCTATGGAAATAGTATCCGCTCAAATCTAAGAAATAATACTTCTTGTCGAAAAAAAACAACTTTTCATAGCGGATAAGGATTTTACCATTTTTATACTAATAATATTCTATTAATAGTTTTATGCCCATACTAGTTACATACTCAAAATAAAACGAAATATTACTCATATTTAACACTTAATTTTAAGTGAATTAAGTGTTAACGCGAAAAAATTAATACTTAATATTAACAATTAAGTGTTTCGTTAACACTTAATATTAATAAAAAAAAGTTAAGTGCCACCCCTAATTAGTACCTTCGATTTTTTAAGTAAAATCACAAGTTTGATCCAGTTTCAATTATTTGAATAAAATCAACGGCATATGGAGGAGTCCAAAAAGACAGTTCAACCTACAGTTTGATCTCTGTATTATGTTAAATCATAACACTCTGCTATTCTATCAGGAGTGTAAATTAGGTCAAAGAGCGAATTTTTTCCTGACAACATGGATCGAGTCGAATCAATGATATGGCCGGGACATCAAATACAGATCCACGGACTACACCTCAAATAAGATTAACTATTCAGCGTGAATCAAAAGATGAAGATCTCCAGAGAGATCAGTGCAAATGCGTACAGATCGACGGTAGCAATTTAGCTTAGCACAGCTCGATTCAACAACGTTCCTTCGAATCTGAAGATGCAATATTTTATTATCGTCATGAAAGGTTCAATTTTACACAACGAATAAATCTGTCAATACTAGATGATACTCCATATTATGGATCACTTTTCATTGCTGACTGGCTCATAATATATACTAAAGGTGCATTAAAAATAAGATTTTCATTACTAGTGAATGCTCTTATCGACGGAATACGAATTGAAGGAGAAAGACTTAGTTGTGCTAGTGAATCTCAATATCTGATAGATGAAATTCATTCAATAAAAAGTAAAAAAATTGAGAAACTACAACAATGTTGTGCACGATTGTATACGAAACATTGTTTTCTGTTCAAAATTGTTAATGAGGCATAACGTGATAATGATCGCTCAAAATTAAATACTCTTGGTCCCTCTTTTGTTATCTTGTTTACAATTACATCGATTGTTGTTCACCGTGGTGAACAATTACCGCCGGATCAAATTGAAATATATAGGGAGGCCGCTGGAAAAGATTATTCTTATAAATGATCATCGTTCGTATCGACGTCAAAACTACGTGAAGTAGCTGAAATGTTTGGTTCAAATGTGTTGTACATTATTGAAATGCCCCGAATGTCTCATAATGATCAATATGTTGATTTGTCATCGATAGCATATATCAAAGATGAACAAGAAATACTGTTGAGGCCAGGTGCTCGATTTAAAATCAATAGCAGTGATTATGATTCGAGAACTCAACGATACATATTTCATATCTTAGTTTTACCACTGTACATTTCTAAAATAACTTAATGCCGCTCAACTCGTGTGCGAATAATCAATTATTATTCAAAATAGATCTGAGAACCCCACAGTTGCTGTCTGATGGTGAGATGGGGATATGTAAGCCAAGAGCATGTACACACCGATCTAGAAGAAAGAACTAGAGGAAAAATAAATTCCGTTGACATGACTATGTTAATTTATGAATCGGACAGCCAGTATGTGTAACTATTCGGTTTAATAGAGCATATTGATTGAAGTAGATGCTTTATCTGTTTCCTTTTTTTATGTGCGATGTACAAATCTGTTTGTGTATTATGAATCATTTTTCTCAGTTGAGATTGTTATTTTGATTTATCATATATTATTGTATGTATTTGCATTAAACTCAAACTCTGTATAAATCATACTAATCAGTCAAAATAAGAGAATCGTAAAAATAATTATTCAGATTCATATATACAAACTGTATTACTTAGATGTTTTATGTGTGCGTACAAGGCGAGCTGTCTCTGTTGTCAGTGTTATAGAGTACGTTTTCAATGCTTGTAACAATTGAAGCACCCGATACTCAAATGTAATGATTTTCACTTAACACGCATTTATGTGCATGTGAGTGTCGCAATGACTGAACGTGAATGCAAGCTTGTATGTCTCCTTTCAATTTCTTTAAAAGACACTATCGACATTTGATTACATCGTTTGTGAATCGGAGCTTTAATATCAGTACTATAGACACACGCACACTGGCGAATTACTTCTTCCGTGACAGGAGAATAATCCTCATAGCTCTTAAACCAGAAAGAATAACACGAATCGTCAAAGAATTCTTTTATTTTTCTATCGTGCAAACATAAAATTATTCAAAAGATAATTAGAAATTGTTCAAGTATTTAATAACTTCTGTAAAAAAATCTTCATAAAAATAACGGACAATCAAGTGCCAATTTTGAACTTAGCTCGATACGTTTACTTTTTATCTTATTATAGATATTTACAGCTTCATTTACTGGACTCGATGCTTCTGTAGCAGATGCCTCTCTAAATAAAATGTAAACCAATGCAAAAGTACCAAAAGTATGACAATATCACTTACGTATTGAAAGGATCATTCATGTCGATATAGAAATTAGCACGAAATGCTAACAAATCAGCATATTTTACAGGTGCTGGCATAGATATTGAACGCGTACAACGAGCACTTGTGTAACATAACGCATAAGTTAACATTTGAACTTGCTCAGATTTGAGTTTATTATCATCATACAAAACATGATAATGCGTTGGACGACTTGTTCCCTAAATATAAATTTAAAATGATTGTCGAATAAATTTTAAAAAAAAAACTTCGTTACTTTATCTGAATGATGGCTATTCAGAAAGAAATTATAAGTTGTTGGATTAATAACTTCATGTGAATCAACAACTGTGCCAGCCTTCACATTCCCATTGAGATCTCCTGGGAAAAATCTTGTATGATGTCTCTTATTCACAATTATGTAAGTAAGATAAGGTCGATAGATCGATGCTAATTCAACACAAGCTTCTCTTGTCGCCATAAGTTCATACTCGAACACACTGTCAAATTCACTATCTGCAATGCCATCCCGATAGATAACAATAGCTTTTGGCGGGTAACCACGCTGTTCTTTGTACTGACGAATAAGGGATTTCATAATCTTTTTCATATCTACAACACATTCACGGCTTTCTCCTCTTGCCTCAGCTGATCGTTCTTGTACATAGATTTCTTTGAAATATCGATTAGGTATATCGTCCGCTGATGCTACAACGGCTACAGTGGAGCATTTTCTACCTGAACCAGGTGCTCCATGACTAAGATCGACGCCAACATACATATATTGATGACCACGTGAGAAAAATTGACCAATCACATCACTGAAAATATTTCTCTACAGTAAGTTAATGAGGCATAAAAAATAAGCATAACTTACGGAACAGAAAGAATAGAATTTGTACCATCGAGTTTAGTATTGATTTTTAGCAAAATACTATTCAATCTTGAATAACTCCATTTATCTGCACGTTCTGTTTCTTTCAATTTGATCATTTGAGTTACAATGCCAAAGCCATATTGTAATTCACACTAAATTAACAATATAGTACAAACATTCGAATTGCATTTATTTTAAGTAATCTTACCAGTTTTTTTAAATCACCATAAATTCGATTTCGGATATTGTTATCCACTGGTAGGATGACTATGAAAAATTTGCATTCATTATTTTTTTCCATCATATCTTTCAGTTCAGCAATAATTTGAGTAAAGGAATCAAAATTGGATTGAGGATAAAATTCTTCATATATAACAGGTGAAGTGCAATCAATACCTCGGTCACACGCTACTTTACTCAATTCTTCAAAGAATTTTCTACAAGAATTTTCACTCATCGATGATGATAGATTGATGAAAGCCCATACGGGAGGAAAGTTAGTTGGGCGAAGAAATTCGGTTTTCGTATTAGTCCAAACACCTGGTGACCGCTGCTGTCCACCACAAACGCGAAAATTTTTATTATAAACAATTTCTGGTGCAGGTAAAATGCGCGCTTTTATTTCAAGCATCTTCACGTCAACATTCAAATTCCATGCCCTTATGAATGGATCTTGGTCAAAGCATTGTTGTTCTGGATTCTGACGGATTGCTTTAATCGTTTGAACATATTGAGGCGGATTCATAGATGATTTTAAACAGAGAAGTGCTCTTTGTTCGTCGGTTATTTTTTTGACTTTAACTGGTTTGACATCAACAAATTCCATTGGTACGCACGATTCATTTTGCATTTTCAACGTAGGCAATGTTGGATAGCTATTTAACAGAAAAAGAAGACAAATCTAAAATATCAAATGGGACGGTGTTTTTGATACAAACTTCAATGGAATCCCATAGTGTTCTTTATAGTAATTTTCGACTGTAATAAGGCGCTCCTTCTCATGAGGTCTTCTCCATAAGAATGTTTGGTTTGATGCTGCTTCAGCTAAGCCAACTATTTTATATGCAATTGTCTTATCAGCCACGTGTGAACGTACATTTAAGTCTTAATTTGAACGATATAATTTGTTGACTTTTCAAATAGAAATCAGAAATACTTACGTTGGCAATTTTGCAATAAAAATTCAATTTCACCAGAGTAATCACTACGACTAATATTTTGATTTAGAAAGTTCAAGACATCTTCTAGCTTGGCTTTATTAACCTTTTGCCATTGTGGGTAATGCCTCTTACCAAGTGGACTATGAACCATAACATCACAGAGAAAATCAAGAAAAGATTGTTCTTTTTGAAATACAGCATGACTCACTGAAAGTAAACAACAACAAGTAACATATTAAAATTATCTTCAAAGAAATTAATCTCTCATTCATGATTACCATCAAGATTCATGAGCAGCTGATGAGTACCATTAGCAAGGACAAGACACGAATAGAAACCTCGCCATGAAGCTTTACCGAAACCTAGATCCCAATAGCCGTGTTCATTTTCCAAAGGGAGTTGTGTAAAAAATGACCGATTATAAATATAAGTAGCCAGGGATGAACAGTTCTCATGCAATACAATTGAGAAAATCTGTTTAATCTTTTTTACATCATTATAATTGATATTGGAGTTGTTTTCCATTTGGTGAAATGTTTTCAGAGAATTTAACAAACTAAAATCAATCGGATCACCTACTCGTTTAATGCAAACTTCATATTCTTCAAGACGATTAACTTTATTCAATGCCCTTATTTTTTCAGTGATCCCCTGGAAGAAAATACACGAGAATAAAATGATTAATTATGAGATTGAAAAAACGAACTTCATGTCACTTACCGTCTCGTCAATGTTTGGTAGCTGTTGGTCAAGTGTAAAGATAATTTTTCGATTATCAAAAACAATTTTAGATTTATCAATTTGTCGATATCGGTGACAATATTGACTCAGCCAACATTGATACAACGCACTAGTAGTAAAGAAGAATCATCATAAAAATTAAGCGAACCACGAATGTAACTAATTACCGTTGGCGGTAAAGGGTATGTTCTGAACCCTTTTTATTGTTTATTTGAATATCATATTGATAAACAAGACCATTTCGTGGAAAATCGAGAATTGGAAAATAGTTTACCAAAACTTTTATTTCGTCGCTAATATTGTTTGGTTCATCAGGTTGTGATGGACGAGCCTTAGAATGAAATTGTTCGCTGGTTAACTCTGATACTTTCCAGAGCGGATCAGGTGCTTTGAACTGTTGTCTTAAATGAGTGCCACGACCTCGGCCACGCTTATTAGCCGATGCACTAAGCATCAGCACATTGTCCGTAGTCAGTGTTGCTTCTCGTATTGTTGGTGATGAACTGTCATCTAATAAAGACCTAATTTCTGGAACCTGTCGTCTAGGACGTCCCCGACCTTTTGGCTGTTGTGGTACTGACATGTAAACAGTTGCAATATAAGATAATATGCATGTATATATTTATATATTGTGCTACTGGGTATTTCCCCAAAGTTTTTTTTATAACTTCTCTGTTTATGAATCATCCACATTATACGAAACAAAAGTAACCAGAACAAAATAAGTCATGATCCGTTCCGTAATCTTGACGAAAAGCAAAATGCATAGAAGGATTACAAAAAAAAGTCAAATGTTCTCCATGGATTACATTTCAAATATTTATTTCCCAAAAAAAGAAAAAAATTGTAAATCAAAGCCTATTCCAATATTTAAATGAGATAATCATAAATTATATATATATATATATATTTTTTTTTTCTAAATTGATTCCGTTCTGCAACTAATCCGAATTTTATTGGAGAAGTTATTTTTAACATTTCTATCGCATAATAAAAGTAGCAAAGTGTTTATACGTGCACAAACAACATTTCCTATGGAAATAAAACACTAAAATATGAAACAAGTTGATTTTCTATCACTCATTTTCATAAATCAATTGATCAGAGAAGCCAATGAACCGGTACTTGAACTTAAAATATATGTTCGACAATCACCAAAATAGCTGGTTTGATTATGTGATAAAACGCAGATCCCATAGTAATGAACACAAGCTGCAGCAACAACAAATACATGAAAAAGTTGATGACTTTGAAACTAAACGAAACAACACCAAAATAGAATTTACAAGACACGAATTTCAATTTTCAACGTACCCAAATATCAAAAAGACCAGGAGCCAATCGTTCCGGTATTCGAGCTATTAAAACCAATGATTATTAGTCTTCGAAAGTAGCAGAAGAAAAGTGCTTACCAGCATAGAGACCTGCGCCAATAATATAAAGTGCAGCAACTAATAGTAAATATTGAGTAGCACCAGCTAAAACAAAAATAAAATCTAATTATTGAATTCTAATAAACACAACGAATCCGTATCTCACAGAGATTTCTTTTTTTCTGAGTATTTAAAGGTTCAGCTGGTGTTTTTACGTTTTATGCACGCAGCTAAAAAATAATACAAAAATCCTCATACCAGTAAAAGCATATTCAAAACCATGTCGACATACATAATGACAAGTTGGAATAATACCAAATATTCCAAGTGTAATGAATAGTACTACAAAAGAAAAACAATTCAATGATCAAAATCATTTTTTTCTTCTTCTAGCAATATACATACAAACGCGATAAACCCGATAATCTGATGAAGCAAATCTATCCCATAGTGAAATAACTATACATGTTACGCCTAATAAACCAATTAATGATAAATACGCAATTTTTGTTCCAAATTCACAATAGAATTGATAATAAAGTAATGGAACAACTGAACCAATGATTAATATTGCTATTCCACAATAATCAAGTCTAACAAATCGAATATAAAAATAAAAATCATAGAATACTTCGAAATATCTTACTTTCCAAAAAACTTTGAAATTTTAGGTGAATGACAATAAAATATATGATACAATGTTGAACAAAGTAAACATAAAATGGCAGCAAGAAAAAATGCACCAAAAATTAGTTTCTTCTCTATATGGACTTCGCTCGCTGGCTGCGTGAGAAAATAGATGGCCATTCCAACGAAAATAAATGTGCCCACTAGATGCGTCCATATGTTAACGGTTTCTGTATGTAAACGAAATATGGATGCAAAACATTGTTTAACACTTGGCATTGGTGGGCGATGGCCGGAGAGTAAAAATTCATTGTCAATAAGCCAATATGGAAGATGGCTATGATCAACAAGATAATCGACAACGAATTTGCCAACTTCTTTTGCTTGTTCAACGCATTTTGTTGGAACTTCGAGAACTGCATCGATTAAATCGTGCTTTTCGTCATTGGGAAAATTTTCAGTGATATCATTTTGAGATAAACTCTAAATACAACAAAATTTAAAAATAGTGAATTTAAACAAATATCGGATTAGCTTGTTCATATCAAGTGATGTTAGAATAAAAAATTTGAATTATGAATAAGCGAGATAAACGGCACACAAGGAGTAATAAATATATTTACTTAGATATATAACTATAAAATGGAATTATGAGAAACTGCCGATTAGCATTTATTGTATTCTGAAGCTAATATTTGAGGTAGGAAAATTGAGCATAGACTAAACACTTTAATTGATCACAGGACAGCAGAAATTCGGTTATCATTTCTTAGGAATATAAAATTTCTTGAATCGAATCAACTCGCTTTGACTACAAAATATCAACGATTTGTCAATATTATTCAATGATAAGAGTCTAGCTACTAGAACTTACTTTTGCTCGAGTTGATAAACGTTGTCGAAGTTCATCTTGATCGGAATCTGCATCACCAACGGATTTTGTCTTTGACAACACTAGATGATGAGTCATTCTCGTTTTGTGGCTGACTTATTTTTTTCTGAATGAATAAAATCTGAAAGAATTCTACACAATACATATATTCAAATATTTAGTGAATTTAAAAATGTGAACCGAAAACGAAGAAAACTAACGTCAAACAAAGCAGAACAAAAATTTTAGTTAATTATGCAAAACTACTGTTGAGGTTGTAATGGATATCCATTCATAATTGAACCATTTTTCGATGACATTAACATTTGATGATGAGAATAAACATTTGCCTGTTGTTGATTTGGATCGACAATTGGTTGAGGCAAAAATGATAATGGATTTAAATAGTCTATATTAAAAAAAGAAATCTTTTATTGTGAAAACAGTCTTGCTAGAAGTTCTATTACTTGACATTTGTGATGGTCCGCGTACACGCGGCATCTGATTGGCATATGAAGCAGATGCAGCTGCTGATGGAGTCATATAATTGAGATATGCAGAGAATGCTGATTGAGTTTGTGGTGACTGATAGCCAACAGCGGATCCTGGAGCTCCATTACGAGTGACTTGTGATGAAGCGGGAGGATATCTTGATCCGGGACTTGTTGGTCCTAGAAAGACAAACGAAAATAACTCAATTATTTTTGTTTCCTACGAAAGAAGATTATTTTTACTTGAATGCATTTGTGGAACATGTGATGAGCGTGATGATTTGCTCGATGGTGATGAGAACATATGTGATGATGATGATGGACTACGTGATCGTTTCGAAGAAACATTTGTTGCACTTGTTGTTGGAATGAATGATTGCTGTTGAGGTTGTGAAGGTGGTTGCGGTGGTGGTTTGTAAGCTAGTAGACGATGAGATGGTTGTGCTGATAAATAGTGTTGTTGATGATGAGCATATTGCGCCATTTGAAGATCTAGAAACGAAAACAATTTATTCATCTAAGAAATAAATGTTTTCTATTTGTGTACTTGGTGAATAAAGACTTGTCCATGATGGTTCTTTCGTCAATGTTTGTTGAGAATGTTTTCGACGGTCTTCCTCTGTTAATGCACGTTTCAGTAAATTATACTGTTCACACTTTTGTTGTTGTAAATCAAGTATAGTTCGTTCTAATTTAAGAATATCTTTGGCATTATCTTCTAATTGAACTTTTGAAGACGATAGTGCTTTTGCCTAAAAATCAAAATTATATTTTAAATTACGCATGCAGTTTGAATGACTGTGTAGCTGTAGAGTTTTTCATACTAATCGACCTGGCCTTGAAAAGTAGGATAGGTTTAGATAAAAGAAAAACGAATCTTTTTATAAATATGAAGTGACAGCTGTGCGAGATCTACAGTTTTCAACGTTAACAAAAAAACGTTGACTAATAGCTTTCAGTGTAGAAGAAGAAAACCCGAAATAGTTTATCTCTCGCTGTAATTCACATCATCTTAACAAAAAGATCACTAGGAGATCTGTACGAGGTTGGTAGTGAACTAATGTTCATTCCGATCGCAGTTAAAAATAATAATCAAACACCTTTTCTTCACGTCTTCTTTGTTTATCGGCTTCGTTTGCGTCAGCTTCTTCTTTTTTTCTTTGTCGTTCACGTAAAATATGCCTTTTTAATGCATCCCGCATTTCAGTCGGTAAACTTGGTCGTTCTATAACTACGGCCGGCATCTGAAAATAATCAATCAAACAGATAATCAACACGGAAAAACAATCTTTTTTATATCTGGCTTATGTTTAATGAGAATAACTTGTAAACGAAAACAAAAAATATAATCAATAAAAACGAATTCGTACAATGGTTTATTCTCAATATATACACCAAAAACAAATTATTATTTCGTAAATACAATTAAACTCCCATCATCGAAACGCAAGAGCCCACTTATGTAAATAATCATAAAATTGTGGCACAATAGCGCCTTTACTAGAATCAATTAAATCTTTCAAATAGCTTGTGGCTTTTTCAGGATCTAAATCCAGGCGAAATTTATCAAGTAACTAAAAAATTAAAAATTTTATTTTTAAATTAGAATTGTTTTGTTTTGTTTTCATTACTTTTTTAACTGTTTTATCTCGTTCCAATGCGATATCAGGTATATTTGCATCTAACATAAGTGAAAATAAATTTGCAAAAACATTCGCATGTCTAAAATAAAAATTGTTGAACTTGATATAGCTGCGATAGAACTTAAGTCTTCTTACTTTCGTAGGATAATAAAAGCAGTAAAACAATGCCGTGAAAAGTCGAATAAATGTTTTTCATCCAACATTTCCATCATATCTCTTGAAACTCGCATTGCTTGTGGTAATGGTTTGGGATCTCGGCCCATAATAAAACCAAAATCAATATGAAACAATTGGCCTGAATCTCGTAATAGTAAATTATCAAGATGTCGATCGCCTATGCCCAACAAATATGTCACGACACAATAACCAGCTATGAACGGCAAACAAAATTCATATCGATTTTCTTTTCACTTAAAAAATGAACCTTTTCCTACCACAACTTTTCACATAGGCATCCATCATTTCTCGAGGAATACCCGTTTCGTTCAAAACCGTATCATCCGTATTCGTTACAGTTACTTTACTTTGTAGATATTGACGAATCGTGCGATTACCTTCGAGGATCTTTTGCAATGGTTGTGATTCAATATATTGAACAAAACCTTAGATAGAATAGATGAACTAAGAAGATTATTCAGCAAGAAAAAAATTCGTGATGTTTACCATGTTTCAAACTTGTCGATAAGACTTTATATGGTGTTAATTTCAAATCTATATTTTCTTTTCGAAGAATCTATATGAAAGAGAAGACCATGAATTTCTTTTAGAATTCAATGCGAAAATGATGAAAGGCCTTATTGAAACACATTCGAACTCTTTTTTAGCATAGCTTACTCGATCCATTAAAGTAACAATCTGTAGGATAAGTTGATCTTGTCGGAGATCATCGCCATATTTAAATATAATTGGATATTCTTCACCTTGCGTTGTTTCACATACAAAAAGAAACGGTAATTTTGCACTCTAATGAAAAATAAAAACCGTTATTTTTGTAAACTCCTAAAATTTATTCCTACTTTGAATATTCGAATTTTTTCCGGAATAATTCGTCGAATTTTAATTTCAGGATCTAATGGTAACGATATTGGGTCAAAATTAAGAAAATTAAATTTCACCGGCGAATCATCGCCCTCTAATAATAAACTGCGCAACTTGTCTTCCTAAATAGTTTCATTGTAAACAAAAGAAAAATGTCCGTAAAATTTTCTATTACTTTAACTTTCGCTGAACCTTGTACTCGTTTAACAATATTGGTTAATTCGACAAGTTTATCAACAAATTTCTTTTGTGCTTCAATTGATAAACGAACTTGTTGTGTTTGCTCATTTTTCTATAGAAAAATGAAAATGTTTTTCAATAAAGATTACCAACAAATATCGATTCTACCGTTTTAAGTGTGATACTAAGTCGTTCAACGAATGCTTCATACATATCACTTGTAGCTTTATCTTTCAATGAACTAGTATTTTCACATTCAACATATGCATACCTATATATATATAGCATAGAAAAATAAATGTTTTTTTTTCGTATTTCTACAAACCAAAATAAATAATTTGCAATTATTGGCTTTTCACATGCTCGTTGAATTAAAAACGTGGATAAATCAATCTATAAAAACAAAACATTCGATTTGGTTTTCTTCTGAATAGACTTACTGGTGGACAGCAGAATTTTGTTGAATCAACCGAAGACGAATCAGATGGAACGACAACGTTTGCATAGTTTTCACTACTACTATTTAAACTTAATAAAAACAAAAACAAAAGCAAAAGTCAAATTTAAGTTTAGAAATACAGTTATTGCGGATCGTCAAACCTGTTTTGGTCTTCGCCAGCAGCATCAACAAGATAAGCGTTGATTAAATCATAACGTTCATATCTGAGAGCTTGTACCAATTGTAAAAGATATAAAAGAAGATCCTAGAAGACGTAAATCTATTCGTTAAAAATTTCGAGAAGAAAAAAAATCTACTTCATCGGATGCTTGTCTCAATCTCGCAACAGCGTAAGAACGAACTTTAGGATGATGATAGGCTGGACCAAGTAATTCAAGCGCATCTTCCGTATCCATTGTAACCCATTGTTGTAATAGATCAAGTGCTTGTTTAACTTCTTCTTCCTTATCCCAGTGAACACATTGAAGAAATTTTGCAAGTGCTTTTTTATGTTGCGATAAGAAAAATCGGTACTTCCACACTAAATCTTGTTCTTCAATCGGAAGAAATTGTCCGGGTGAATATTCCAAGATTTCCATGAGTTTATCATGTTGTTCACGTGCTGGCTTTAATTCTTTATCCATAGCTTTACGACCACTGCGTGCTAATTTTAAATGTTTACTTTCAACAATATTTTCCTATTCAATAGCAAAACAGAATTCCGAATTGTAAAGATAAAGATATGTACATACGAGATTGAGTTCAGGATCAAAAACAACTAAATCTGTATAACCAATTGGATAGTTAATGATATCATTAAAGCTCTAAATCAAAATACGATCTTTTTCATCTATTCTCAAAAGGAAAATAAAATTCATTCGAACCGGCTCAAAATAAATCACAGAACATTCACTATTGCCCATCATTGTTCGCGCAAACTCAATCAATAGAAGCATTGATTTCGTATTTGATCGTTCCGTATCCAAGGATGAATGTGTTTTAGGTAATATTAATTGTTCAAGCCATTCTTGATTTATCGTATGGCCATCGCAATGCGTTTTAATTAACTAAAAATAGACAATAGTCGAAATTCAAAACAATTTTTTCCTGTTACTTTTGATATTCGACTGAATTCATCCAACATCGGATATTCACTTTCGTCATTCCATGTAATAACCGGCGTTTCTGTTGCTATTTGTTTCGAATTATTTTGTAGATTTGTTGGAGTTTTATTTTTATAATTATTAAGAATTGGTTCTGAATTTAATGTTGGTTCAATTTTTCCTAATGTTGAAGAATTAAATCTAACATCGGGTGGAGTTTTCGGCCATAATTTTAAATCATAGATACCACGTCGGAATGTTCTAAAAATTTAAATTTTAAATTTCATTTTCATCATTATAAATCTTACCCATCAGATGCAAATAACGATATTGTTGTACTGCCAACAATTCTTGTATCAGTTGGTGAAAAAATTTCATGAATGCATAAAGTTAAAATAGAATGCCGAGGTAAATCACAATATCTCAATGGTAATGTTAACCATTCGTTCCAACTAAAATTCGGGAGAAAAAAAGATTTTCTTTCTATTGGAATTTTTATTCTTCCTGATAATCTTACTTCCATCTATCGTTAAATGGTTTAAAAGATGTTTGAACAGGCATACACAATGGTTGTCCATCGGAAAAAACTTGACAAACCACATAAGGTTCACTATGTTTTGTATCATTTAAACTACGAATAAATGATGAATTTTTCGAATGAAATAAATCATTTGAAGCTGGTTGAGGTCGTTCACCGTCGACTGAACCACTTGACAAAAAAAGAAAGATATGGTAAGAAAAAAGTACGCAAACAAAATTAGTTTTACATTTTTATTTGTATACGATCTTCAAGTTGATAACTGTAGACAAACTGAAACTTTTCTGATACGTTGGACATCTCATCAGTTGATCATCTCATAAAATAAAAATTAACTCGTACGAGAATTTGGCTGTTGAATCGAAAAAAAAACGTGAATTAAGTCAATAAATGAATCACTGTGTATTTGTTCTGACAATCTGACGACTTGCCATCATTCATCATAGTGCAATATAATAAACAAATGGAAGCAAAACATTTCCTATTGGCTAGTCTATTGTGGCCAATAGAGTAAAGTTATTCGTTAACACATGTTGGTCATTCTTATTTATCATTAAAGAAAGTTTGATTAAAATGAACAAAAGTTAACCTAAAATAGTAGTTTTTCTTTTTCTAAATTCACAATATGAAATTAAAATAAAATAAACTGCCAATTGACAACCCGGAGTGTAACATTAAAATCGAAGACAAAAAAAATAACATAAATTCATTTACTTCATTCTCATAATGATACATATATTCCAAGAATATTTTTATTCGAAATAAACATTTTTCAGTAAATTCATAAAATATTTCTATATGTTTGTTATTGAATCTGGAAAATTTGAGGTCGTTTACTTGTTTAGTAAAATTTTCTCTGATATAATTAATTTATGTACCAAAAAAAAGAAGAAATTACGAATGACAAAAGATCATTCAACGTAGTCAATTTCGTCATACATGAATATTCTTCGTGTCATTGAAAGTATAAAAAAAAGATCAGGGCCTGACCGGGGATCGAACCCGGAACCTCTCGCACCCAAAGCGAGAATCATACCACTAGACCATCAGGCCACGATATCGCTTCGTATATTTTTGGCTCAACACTTGTTCGATAACAAATCTTGCCCGTGAAATCGTAAAATAATCTCATTTAAACGAGTAGCATCGTGTCAAAAAATTCTCTCGTTCAGTCGCTTTATTTATTTCGTTGCAATATGAATCTTATACTATCATTCTTTTTTAATCTCTCGGGAACAGGCAAGCTTGTTAGAGTAGAAGAAAATTTTTGATGAAATTATTCTTATCAAAAAAAGTCTTCCTTGTTCGACACCACGCAGATAGACTGCAGAGGCGTTAATAATTGGATATGATAGATTCCTGTTTTTCTTGATTTCTGCTTACTTCCATTATCTATATTTAAATACTATTTTCTAGATTGCTTTTATTTTTTTTTCATGTTTTTGTACATTAATATCTTTTTTTTGTTTTTTTGTTTCGAATACATCAAAACTAGACACAATGACAGTTGGCGTGTTAGAAATACATGTATATATAAAGTTTAAATAAGTGTACATATATAAACATAAAATCTAATCTCTCGAAATAAATTCAAACAAAAGTCATAAATAATAGCGTACAAGAAAAGCACATGACATATTCTGCTCGATAGTTTTTTTGCTCTTGTATCTGTGTATAATCGTCTCGAAAAACAAAGAGGAGAGAAAAAAAGGAAATGAGATACAAGATACGAAAGAAAATAAATACACGCTTACAGAAAATGAGAAAGGAAAACATAATAATAATAATAATAATAATAGAGATATTATACAGTACTAGATTAGATAAAAAAAAATCGGGTTTAAATGATCTAATCTAGCGTTGACGTTGATGAGGAAAATACAAAGAATTGAGATCACTTGACTGTAATAATACGTTGTTGTGAGCTAAACAAATCACGCTTGTCGAATAATTGTTCATATTGATCCATAACATAAGTATCAAGTGTTGCTGCATTAACATTTCCTTGAACTCCTGTAGATGGTAATGAATAGAGCACCTTCCATTTGCGTTTTTTATTATGTTGTTTATTATTAGTAGCACTTCCGAGAGGTTGAGATATGTTTGTTTTATTGTTCGATTCTAATGGTCGTTTCGATTGAGGTGAAGATTTTGGCGTCGGTTCTTTCTGTTGTTTATCATGTTCATTTTCAATCACCACGAATTCGGATTCATCTTGATCATCGACGAGAATCCATGAATCGCTCATTTGTTTTGGTGGTGCATTTAAACCGTTATTGTTGACAGCCATAAACAGAGTTTTGAATAAAAAATAAGGTAATAACAAAAATCTATAATAGAAAATTTTAAAACAAATTCATATTTTCTATTCTTCATAAAAATTAAAAAGAAATTCTTCAATTTACCCGGTAGGAAAGCTACAGTGAAGTCAAACAAGCTATGAGTTATTCTCGAATACGCACTCTGTTATATAAAGGAATAGTGATGATGACGACGACAGAAGCGATAGAATAGAATATATACCCACGTACATTCTTGTTCTCTCGAACAATCGACGATAGAAGAAGAAGAGAACGAGAAAGAGAAAATTCTGGATCTCGCTCTTTGCTCAGCGAATAGCTACATTTTGACAGCTGTCGTTGATAGCCACGACGTGCAGAAAAAAAGAGAGAAAGAAAAAGAACGAAAAGAACGATGACAAAGCAGGCATGTGACTGCTGCTATTCTGTACGCGTATACAACACATCATGTGAGTGAGTGTGCGCTCACGAGGTCTCTGACATCATGATTACTATTGGACAAAAGAACGAACATGAATTTGCAGTAGCAGTGATGCAAGTGTCTGCTGTGCGGTTTCAAGGAAACTAAAGAGCCGCTTCCTTAGTTTTCATTTTACATCCGAAAGGGAAAAGAGTGGAGGAATTCTATGAGTCTTGAATCTGAATGATGAAGAAATTTTTCTAAGATCCTTTTTTATCGTTCTCACACTTGAAGGAAACAATAGTGTTCAGCTTTAAAAGTAAAAATGTAAAAAGAGAATTTTGAACAGAACTAAAAATTTCATCATTGATTGATCACCTACTCTACGATTCGAATAATAAACTATTCTATAGTAATTAATATAAATCGTTTCATACATTTTCATGGAGTTCTCGAGTTTAATGGATTAACAATAAATCAATACTTATCGAATGATGAATTAAAATTTCATATTGGTTCAAACGGTTTCATACATAAACTAACGGGAATTAATTAAAATCTACTTGAATCAAATAATAGTAAACTTACGATTTTTACTCAAGGAATTGAAGCACAATAAAAATATATGTCGGTTTCATCACACTTAGACCTTATGCATATTTTAGTTTCTTTTATATTTTCACTGCAATGAAATATTTTAAAGTTATTTATTGTTCTGTGCGATGAATGCTATTTTATTGAAATTCTTACACAGTTTATCACATTCATTCAAACTATTTTTATGAAATTTATTAATCATCTGATCCTTCCAACAGTAACAAACAAACATCCATGGAACTTTACAAAATGCTAAATAACAGTTTTAATATGCTTAATTATTGAATCAGTTTTTCAATGAAGTTGTTTTTATTGTGCAAGACACGTCTTATGGTCAAATATTGTATGGCTGTCACAAAGAAGATATAGTCTACGCAACATGATATTCGAGTATTTCCAGCTTTGGTCTACTCTTCCATCTGTGTTTGACAGAGAATTTTACACAGCACGGAAGAAACTGACTTCAGTAGACGAGATTTTTTGAAATTCCGGAATCAGTTTCTTTCTCCGTGCTTTGAACGTAGAAATAGATGCAGCAAAACTATTGTGTTGCATCACATACGTGAAGTATCAGTGTTTTTGCTTTCGTAAGCGAATGGATAACGAAAAAATATTCATGCAAAACAGATACTTCACTTTTATCTATTGTCATTGATTAGAAACGTTGAGAAACTGACTTTGTTTTCATCTACTTCTGTTTGTACTATGTCCTGATCGTATGTTGATATAAGAAGAAACAAAACTTTGAGTTGGAAAAAACTGATTCTGTTGTTATAAAATCAACAGAATCAGGCGGAGTCACTGCAGAGCCTCAGTGAATTCAATGCACTGAAATCAATTGTTTTTCTTTAGACTTGAGTTAGTGTTTAAAGCTGAACACGAATCTGATTTTGGATTTCTTTTATTGTCAGGTCAACATCAGTATAGGAGAAGGAGATAGTTAACTGATTCTATAATATCGGAATCATATGAGAATAGTGTGGAACCAATTGAATCAGTTTTTCCCACTTGCGAAAGTTTCAAATGTAGTGCATATTCTTTTAATGTTGTTGGAAAGCTAGAAACAGGAAGGAAAGCATTTTTCTGAGCTATCAAGAAGGCAGGAGTGGGAAAAAATAAATTTACCTATAAGAGTGGAAATGAAAGCCAGAAAAAACTGCCTAAGCATCACTGTGGTTCATAATGAAATACAAAGCCTGTAAAGGAAACAATTTTTCGAGAGGAATAAAGAAAATAATGAGTGCGGTAGTTGGCCAGCTTTCTATTGATGTAATATGTCTACAATTATCGCTCGTTATCAGTTTGAAAAAACGTTAGAAAACAGTACTGATTGACTCTTTTTCTTTTGTCAAAATTGATTTACGAACCTTCTTTTGCAGTAAATGAAATATTTCGTGAAATCATTTAAATCGGTAGATATTATATCTCTGCTTCAGGATTCGTAGACTACTCCGTATTGAAAGCATGTCTGTAAATTGTATCTGAAGAGTTGCGTCTAACAAAATCTGCTTTGCTAATAAGACTTCACCAACTCTGTGGGTTCCCAAATGACTCTCAACCTTTGACAAAATACACAACCACATCCTTATCTATTTTCAGTTGCTTATTTTACTGGCTGCTGACACTATACTATCATGAACCGCTTCTCAAATAGTCAGGTATGCTTTAACTTCCGAAAACGAAAATTACCAAAACTTCCATAAGTATCGGGTGTAGGTATGGTAATCCTAGATATCACAACAGTCCCCACTCCAGATAATCAGGTATTTTTTTCTCTTTCGTCACTTTAATCGTATATGTGCGTGTACGCATTCTCTCATTGGTACAAAAAACCGATAAAGCATTTTTGAAGTGTCATCTTTCA